CTTTAACAATAACAGAGATACAGGGGGTGTCCCAAATTGCAAAATTTTCGAAAAGACCCTGTAGCTCAGAAACTAAGAGGGCTATGAAAATTTTGTTTGCAGCATCTTCCGTTTGACGAAAATGTGGGACAGGTTTGTGCAAACCGCACCCTTCTATCTTCACTAATAACGGAGATACCCTATGATTTCAACCAAAATGGGACACACTGTACAAACATTGTTTAAATCCTTGACAAGTAAACAGCATAGTCACAAGCATAGTGGCATTCGGTCACAAGCATAGTGGTCGTCCCGAAATTGTCGTTGCTAGTGAACTAGCTATCATATTTATAAGTTTTTTTACTATACACTGCAATACGATTTCTATGTTCCTTATGTTTGGCTATCCATATGAAGGCTCATTTTCGTATAAATCCATAAATTCCAAAACAAGATCATTTGAAGACTACACGTGAAAACCCAGTTTTGTCCATTTTAATTGGAGCCGACAAAAAATGCAATTTAGTGTTTTTAAAGAAATATGTTATTTTCGGTTGAATAATTAGAAAATTATACAATTACTACCCGTTCTGAAATATTAATATTGTGAATTATCGCCATATTCTAAAATACCGAAATAAAGATGTCCAAATGCAAAACAAAACAGGGGAAAACCAGGGATGTACAATTAAAGGTTGTATAAAACCTAAATCTAAACTATTATTTTTTTGTTGTAGGAAGAAAATTAATATTTAAGTAGGTTTTTATTACAATATATAAATTTATAACATATAATACTAATTGCAAGATGCATGCTTGTCGCCCATGCGTAAGTACATCTCTGGTATTTGCCATTTACGCGTGGACTACTCTGGTTTTTCCTTTGTACGGCAAAATAACCAAGCTGTAATATCTCTGGGACTAAGCGTATTATTGCTTTCTTTTTTCTCGAATGACGTTTACATTTGTCTATAAAGTTGTATCGCTATCTTAATTTCTATGAGAATGTGACATATCTGATTTTTCCCGTATAGTCTTCATTTGTCCACTCCATTTACTGCTGTGAGAACGATTTAGGTATGTCGCCAATATTGAAGTTATTAATGTAAATTTGATATTATAGTTTTTTTTCTTTTTCTTAAACTTTTAGATTATCTACATATATAAAATGCTAATGTTTATCTGTGCCGTCTCTACTGAAGTAACGACTTGCTCTAGAAAGTTGCTTTTTTTACTAAAATATAGCTAATTGGCTCTTCTAAAAACTGTCGTCGCCGGATTTTTTGTTTTTCATTTAATTAAAAAAAATAAAAAGTATTTTTTTCCTGATCGTGGCGGATGCGCCAGGCTTCAACTAGTATCCATATATTTTTTTTTCTTTGTCTTGGGTATGGTTTTTTATTAATTGAAAGATGGAAACTTTTTTTATGCGACGTTTCGCTCCAACATAGTGGGCTTTCTCAGGCAGTTTATTCTTGAAGCCGCCTTGCTACCACCAGTCTGTATGGTCATACAGACTGGTGGTACAGAGAAGTTTCCATCTTTCAATTAATAAAAAAACCTCATACCCAAGAAAAGGAAAAAAAAAATATATGGATTTGATATTATATACCTAATCTATTATTGTCTAAACGATTTAAATTATCCGCAATTAACTCGAAAAACACTACACACGGAAATAAACGGGACATATTCTATAATAGTACAATTATTTGCGCAGTCGTTTTTTTGCGCCTCGGCAAGTATAGACAAGGCTAGCCAAGTACACTTGGCAAGTGTACGAATAATTATTGTGATCCTTTGACTCGGGCTATATTTACCGACAGAGAGTGGGGACGCGACGGGTGACCAAGGAAGAGTGGGGACGCGAACGGGTGAACTCGCTTCTTATTGTCTCTAACTAGTACCTTTACTTCTGGAGCATATTTAGCGAGGAAAACTTGGAAATCTCTGAGAAGAATTTGTATACTGGCCCTTTCCGTCATTACTATAAGTTATATAACATATTTAACATTAATAATTTAATTAGATTATTATAAAAGCAATCGAAAAAAATAATTAACAATTTAAAATTACACCAAATATAGCAAAATAATTAAATAATATTAAAACTACTTTGCTAACATAACGGGGCGCGTAGCGGCACGGAGTACCGCAACCTCTGTAGTTGTTAGGTTTACGACAGAATTGCTACTGAACCAAAATCGCTGGATAGGTAACTACTACGACCCAGAGTGTCAAATATCCCTAAATAAGAATATTTAATGACACCACCGACTTACGTCCAGTGGATATTTTGTTTTAACGAAATTAGTAAAATCGCGGTACAAAATTCTGAACGCGCCCGCTCGAGGGTTAAAGTTAAAGAGAAGAAGAACAAAGACTCAGTCTCGGTGTCAACGTTTATATTAATCTAAACAGTGGCATGTGTTTCGCTCATAGAAGCATAATCAGACTTAACAGGAAAGAACCCGAATAAATAAAAAATAATAAAAAGGTCGTCGTAACTTACATTAATTGTATTTTGTAAGTTACGACGGTTTATGAAAATGATGTTTTTTTTTTCACAAACTACTTTCTCACCTGTCGCAATAAAGATCTAAAATCACAAATCCAGTGGAACAAAACATTAATTACAACCATGAAGATCGAAAGTTCAGAAATAATAATAAACAGCTGATGATTTAGCGGTATCATATTTAGAAAAATGTGATTTAGATCAATAGAAAAAGCAACAAAGTATCTTTTTTGTTGACTTTTAATTTTTGTCAGTTTTTAGGCAACTGAATTTTTGTCAGTTTTTGGACAACTATAAAAACTTGATACGCCATCTAGCGCACCAAAAAGTTACTATCTCAATTATCAGATCGTTCAAGGTCGTATATCTCAGTTGTCTCGCCCTGTTTCGATATAAGAAATTTGATAAAAATTGCAGAGGTATTGTTTTGCAAAACTCACAAAGCTCACCCTATACAAAATCATCTCATCTAAATTCTGCTACGTCGATACCAACCTGTATAATCTAGATTTATTTATCGAAAGGCGCAAACTGAACAACGATTAATTTTCAATTTCCTCCATCGCTAAATCACTCAGTTTGCTATTTGCTTTCGATTTTCCAAATCGAGCGCTCTGAAATATAAATAAATTGTGCCATACCGCCCCCTGCTAGGTACCGCCTCCCCTGGTACCAACGGCCAGTATTTATTATCTTATACGTATATAACTCCATAGAAGGAATACCTGAAATTGATACCTATTTGTTTCACTTAGTTTTCCTTTCGTTTGTAAATTATAGTACCGAGTGAACAAATGTTCATGTTGTCATGGAATTATGGATTAAAATATTGTAACGCATGTGAAAAAAGTAGATTCGTCTACTTCATGTATTTTTTTAAGAATATCTTGAGAGGGAACACTAAATTTTATTGAACGTTTTTGTTATTTGGTTAATGGCGAACAACTGAGTATTTTATCTTTATCCATGGTCGGACTAGTACTATTTGCATGCCAAAATTAACTTTCACTAACGATAATCCTACTACGAAAATACAACATACTACGACATATTACTAAAAAACTTCATATATCGGCACGGTCCAGCTACTCGAAAAAACAAATTTGCCTAACCAAAAAAAATGCTTAATATAAGGATAAAAGAACTTCATCTAGGAGATGCGAGACCTTATCGTTGGTGAGGAAGCTCCTAGTCAGGTGCTAGGGGGAGTCCCGTCTAGCACTTTAGCTGGGCCTAAAGAGCATCTCATTGCCTTGTCACTGAGACTTACTATAAAGGGATGGGTTTGCAAATATATAAAAGCTTGCCTGATAGTACTTCGACATTGTTGTAATTGCCACGATATATTACATTTTTCAAAAATCCCTAAATAACAGAAATCGAGAACGCACAAATTCGGGGATAAGGGACGCCATCTTATGGGTCCATTTTCTATGGATCCATTTCGTATGGGCCCAATTCAATAACTTTGGAAATAGTTGTTTAATTTTTTTTATAATTGTCAAAGTAACGAGCGGGAGTATATTTCTTGCTGAAAGTATATTTCACGTTTGGGGTATAAGGGGTAGTGGTTTGGTTTGTTTTGGTTTTTTTTTTTACTCTGCTCAATTGTCAACCTCACCTTCTCGCGGTATACCCTGTTTTAACAGACGAGGCTCTGACGACCGTGTCGGGGCGGTATAACCCTAGTATGCCTAGTATGCCATTGTTCCGTCCAACAGAGTCACGAAGTGAGTCGCAGGAAATTGCATCTCAAGCGGCTTTGTCAAGAGGACCGAAATGCCAGTCGTCGCGGCCAGTCTGTGCCATTGGAACCAACTTTCTGTCCTCTGCCGCAACCAAGCGGCGGTGTAACCGTCTTGGTTTTCTAATTATATTACACAGCCGAAGATCTCCAATCAAAGTCAAGATGAATCCTCTGCGCTAGACAAAATATTCCGGAGGTAAAATACCTTCCCGATCGGATCTCCGGGGGAAGGTGCTTGCGCAGGAGAATTATCGATTAAGAAGTACAAAAAGACGCAAACTGTTTACCTTTGCAGCGTGGAACGTTAGGAGTCTTTGTGACTCTCGCCAATCGAAACATCCTGAAAGAAGAACTGCCATTGTTGTCAAAGTATCCAAAAATATTGCGGCCATTTCGGAAACTACCTGGGGAAGGATGTCTTGTTGAGAACGAATATACATTCTATTGGAAAGGGTACCCAGAAGATCAGAATAACAAAATGCACGGAGTTGGCTTTGCAATAAAAAATAATTTAGCTACCAAATTGCAACAGGCGCCGCAAGCAATCTCTGAGAGGCTTATGACTCTACGATATCCAATAGGGCACAATAAATGTGTTACGGTAATTAGCGTTTATGATCCAACTCTAAAGACTGATCCAGAAATCACTGATGCTTTTCCAATCTTTAGAGGAAGTTTTAAATAAAACACCTATACAAGATCGGTGGTGAACATAACATCTGGGAGAAAGTAATCGGGAAACATGGAATAGGCAATATGAACGCTAATGGAGAGCTTCTACTAACTAAGTGTTCTGAGCATGGCCTTACGATAACAAACACCTTATTTATGCACAACGACAAATTTAAAGGCACTTGGCAACATCCTAGATCTAAGCACTGGCATCAACTTGACCACGTCATCGTGAGGCAAAGAGACCTTAAAGAAGTCCTCGATACTAAGAGTCCCGAGTGGACGTAGAGTGCTGGACAGATCACAGAATACTTATATCGAAAATGGCGATAACTGTCCGACCAAAATACTCGTGCATAAAAAAACCTCTAAAAGGAAAGTTATAAACACTGCCAAATTGACAGATCCAAACATAAGATCAGAGCTAGGCCTCAGGATCTCCGAAACTCTTACAAGGGCACAGACACAGATAGCGATGACCCTGAACATATTTGGATAAACATTCGGGACGCCATACAATCTGAATGTGAAAAGAGTCTAGGGGAAACAGTAAGATGCAATAAGGACTGGTTCAGGGATAAAGCTGAGGAAATAGAATCCGCCCTTGAGCGCAAAAGAAAAGCACACACCGGCCTCATGAATAACCCCGAGTGCAGACAAGCCCAGAAGCATTTTGCAACTGCTAAACACGAAGCTCAAAAAAACAATCAGGGCAGCCAAAAATTCTTGGTGGAAAAGCAAAGCTAATAAAATTCAGACTTACGCTGACAACAACGATAGTAGGCGTTTTTTCCAAGCTCTGAGGGAAGTATACGGCCCTGTAAATCGCTCTTCTTTAATACGGGACGTAAACGGCGAACTACTGAAAAATGAAACTGAAATTCGTCACAGGTGGAAGGAACATTTTTCGCTAGTCCTGAATCAAAACTCAAATATTGACCAGGAAGTTTATGACTGGTTGCCTCAATACGACACTGCAAACTTCTTATCCGTCCCACTTGCACGAGAAGAAATCGCTGATGCAATCGCATCTTTAAAAAACAACAAAGCTCCCGGAAAGGACTCAATTCCTGCTGAAATTTACAAGGCACTGACACCGGTATTAATGCCCCATCTTGAAAATCTGTTTACCGTTATCTGGGAGCGAGAATCAGTACCCCATGATTTTAGGGACTCAATAATCATTAGCCTCTATAAAAATAAGGGAGACAAAACCGAATGCGGAAATTACAGAGGAATCTCTCTACTGGCTGTTGCAGGAAAAATCCTAGGAAAAATAATAATAAATAGAATGATGCCCTATGTAGACAAACTGATACCTGACTTTCAGAGCGGCTTTCGACCGAGAAGATCTACTGTAAATATGGTCTTCTGCCTTCGTCAGATTCATGAGAAAGCTATCGAACAACAGCAAAACGTACATTTTGCTTTTATCGACATAACTTAGGCATTCGATACGGTCAATAGGGATGCACTCTGGTGAATTATGTCAAAATTTGGCATACCGCAAAAGATGGTTAACCTTTGTAAAAGTCTGCATGTAAACAACAGAGCTGAGGTATCATTCAATGGTACCCTAACACACCAATTTGAAACAAACACCGGTGTAAAACAGGGTTGTGTTCTGGCACCTGTACTTTTCAATATCTTTATAACAGCCCTAATGATGATAGTAGACAGAAAGTTACAGGAAAGAGGCCTGGCTGTCCGATATCGAACAGATGGAGGCCTATTTAATTTATCACGTCTTAAGGCGAAAACCAAAACACGAGTTAGCTACGTCACAGAATTAATGTATGCAGACGATTGTGCACTAATAGCTAATGACCCTGAAACTCTACAACAAATACTGGACATGCATATATAGGCGTCTGAGACAATGGGACTACAAATAAACATTAAGAAAACTAAAATAATGTCAACACTTTCTGGCGAGCTACCGCAAACTGAGTTGCTCGTGTCGGGCAGAAGGCTTGAGGAGGTTGATTGCTTTTGCTATTTGGGTAGTATGCTTAACAACAAAGGAAACATAGACGCTGAAATACGAAACAGAATAAGTGCTGCCACCAAGGCTTATTTTAAACTACGCAGGAGGGTCTTTGGAAACAATGATCTCTCCCTCGATGTGAAACTTAGTGTGTACCGTGCAGTTATTATTCCAACTTTAATTTACGGAAGTGAAACGTGGGTCCCATATAAGAAGCATATAAAGAGTTGAGAGCGGTTACAACAAAGACACCTAAGGCAAATAATGAAGATAAAATGGTATCACAGGATTTCCAACGAAGTGGTACATTGCAGAGCAAAATGTGTTCCTATTGAAATTCTGGTTGGTAGAGCTCGCCTACGATGGATTGGTCACCTGTCGAGGCTGGACGATGGCAGACTAGAAAAAAAGATTCTCTATGGCGAACTAGCGCAAGGTAGCAGAAAACACGGCGGTCAAAAACTACGTTATAAAGATGTACTACATGAAACTCTAAAAAGCGTCAATAGTAATAACAACTGGGAATATATCAGTCTTGACCGTCCAAAATGGAGACAAGTAGTACACAAGTATGAGGGCCCTCGCCCTCGTAATAGATATCATCCAGTCCCTGGGCACTTTCCATGTCCAGAGTGCAGCCGCATAATAACCTCCAGAATAGGACTCCACAGCCATCGGAGGGTACACTCACGGCGCAATTAGATGTTCTTTTGAAACTCGTACACGAGTCACCGGCAATATATATATATATATATATATATATATATATATATATATACATATATATTTCATATGTATTCATAAGGTATGCTACTGTATGATATAAATTAGGATTGATTGACATATTCTATTGTTTTCGGTCACTTCCTGTTTCACCGGAAATGACTACAACTTTTGATTTTTAAATGGCACTCTCGGTATTTTTTTATTTTATTCAAAGAAAATAACACTCTGAATAGAATGACATATCACATATCAACTTTTGACATTTTCGAATATGGTTTGTTTGAAATTATAACTTGCGGTTCGTAACGAAAATTTGACTCGAAGTACCAAGTGTTGTATCAAATGATTCGTCAAAAATGCTTTTCCCAAATATGCTAATGAACAACCCTTGTTCCATTTGAAAAAATTGAGATATGATTAAAAAGACGATTTGAGCGTTTTCTAATTGGTCAGGACAAGACACTAAAACATTAGACGATCCAATCTATATTTCCAAGACTCCTTGATTAAGTATTAGTGTTTTTAACATAGCCATGGCACTCTAGATTAAAATTTAAAATACAATTTTTTATTAAGCGAGAATCTCAAAAGTTGACATACTCGTTGACATATGATATGTCATTCTAATCAGAATGTCATTTTCTATCGAATAAAGTAAAAAAATATCGAGTGTGCCATTTAAAAATCAAAAGTTGTAGTCATTTCCGGTGAAACACGAAGTAACCAAAAACAATTGAATACGTCAGTCAATCCTAATTTATGTCATATACCAACATACAAAATTTCGTTTTTTTTATCTGAAAAAATAAAAAGTTATAGGGGTGAGTCATTTTCGAGAGGCACTCGGTATAGAAAAATATTAGTAGCTCCCAAAATAAAACAAGAGAGTATCGTAAAATAATAGTATACAGTATAGTAAAATAGGAGGAAGTATAGTAAAATAGTAGTAAACAAGAGAATATAGTAAAAAAGCATTGGTTAGGCAGTAATATTTATTGATAAGCAGTATACTTATAATAATTCTTTTGTTTCTTTTATTATCGATCACGGCCTGCTAATAAGTATACTACATCTTTTAAATATTGCAGTAAATAGTAAAAATACATAAATAGAGTGATATATATATATATATTTGAGAAACACATAGCAAGCCAGATTAAATAATTTTTAAATATACAGGGTAGGGTGTTATGTTTAAGAAAACATAACTTTAGTTCTTATTTCATTTTTTTTTAGAAAAACTGGCTACGCTATTATATTCTACGTAAAAAGGTCTTCAAGAAACAGTTTTCATCTTCTCGATACCTCTTACAGTGACAGAGATACAAGGGGTGTTTCAAATTGCAAAATTTTGAAAAAAAAACTGTAGCTCAGAAACGAAGATGGCTATGATAATTTTGTTTACAGCATCTTCCGTTTGACAAAAAAGTGGGAGAGGTTTGTGCAAACCTCATTCTCCTATCTTCACTAATAAAGGAGATACTGTATGATTTCAACCAAAAAGGGACACCCTGTATATCGCAACGGTGACCGCGAACACTCGGCAGACGAGCTGTTTTATAGTAGGTAATGCTACTATTGGAAGTCCAGCATCAAACCTCTGGTAACTTATGAGGCAGTTCATTTTACTCCCAGCTCAGGACTATTGGTACCACCAAAGTAGGCCCGTCCAGATTAGCCCTGGCAACCTTATATATTTTATTTCACACTTCACTATTATTTTCCACTTTACAACAAAATATTTTAAAAAAATATTATCCTGTGTTTTCGTTTGTTTTCTGAAGTTGTTACAAAACATATTTAAAATTAAAATTGGCATGTTTCAACACAAATTATTATTTGATTATCCATCGAAATATCTTTATATGTCATTTTTGACCACCCTGTACGAACGTACGTCTTCCTAAGATCTATTGCGAATGATTCTCGCATTCACTTCCTTCCGATGTCAGTCTCAAGGGCAAAACAACGTTAAAGCGCGCCCAAATGCAGCAGACCCAGCACTGTTTCACACACATTCACCACCCATGGTCAACCCACTTAAACTTCGTAGGTACCGATAGTACCATTTCAGGTCAGTCCTTAGTTCTTTCGAAATGGATTGAAGACTGGGTTGGCGAACGTATGAATCACTCTGATAATAGAATAAAATTTAATTTAAATGTTAAATTGTTGAGATTTTTTCGGTTGTATTATTGCTTAACAAGAACACAAGACGAAGTACTTACTAAAATACTACTTAAAGTATCGATTGATGGTCCATAGTTTAAGTTAGAATAAAAAGCAATAAATTTAAATAATTCAAATATATCTTAGGAACTAATTTCCATTATCACAATAACTACAACAAATGTTTTGGCTCCTCTCACCTAAATCTGAATTTTCCCACTTCATTTAGAAATAGATTTATGTACTCCTCATGATATTTACGAAATTTTAAATAGATAAATAATGCCATGGCAATTGTAATTTATTTGCTATAAAGCTCATCTTGGCATTTTGTAATATTTCTTTGTACAAATAATTTGGAAAATTTTAATGACTTTACCAGTATTTTATTGTTTCGTTACTTGACTTTGTTCGTTTAACAAATATGTTTTACTGACTATGATTGTTTTTATTTATAACATTTTAGCTTCCGGGCCTGAAGATGGGATTGTTATTCCCGAAACATGTTGCCTAGATTTTTTAAATAGTAGAAATTTTAAATAAACAGTGAGTCCTGCCCCTTAGTAGAGGATTTTAACTAATTATTATTTTATTCGTTATCAACATCCGAAACCTCTTATTGGAATACCCTTTATATTCAGCATTTCCTTCTTCTGATTCAAAGTCAAGCCAAAAAAATCAGCGTTAAAACTTGCCCATGTCATTAGTTGGACCTATTGCAGATTTTCTCTGCCACAAACTTTGACAACTTTTGCGTATCTCCGTCCTGCTGATTTTTTTTACCCTTCTAGAAAATTAATGGACATCCATAGTTTTTTTGTCATTTTGTACTTGCGTTTGTCATAATTCAGAAGAATTCGGGACT